GGTGACTTGATTAGGCCAGATAACAATGATGGATATAATATCAAATTATCTACAGCTAAAGAAAATTTACCAAAAAACCTAACCGACTTTTTATCAATTTTTGGCATTGATAGTATGATAGAAAAGGCATGTATATAATATATTACATTATCATATTTTCTTTTATTATTTATATTACTAACATTAATTGTCATTATATATTTATACTGAAATCTTAGACTTCAGATGCTATGAAAGTTATACTTCGCAGTCTTAGAATATTGATAAATAAGGAAAATTTTTCAGTATTAATTCAAACATCTTTACATTTACTTTAAAAAAAAACAATCAGAATATACCTTTAGAAGAAACAATTAATTCTGATAATAAACTTGATATGATTTTTGAAGATTCAGAATTAATTTTGAATGAAATAGATAATAAATGTGATATTAGCAAATTATTAACACAACATCAACAATGAATATTAAATAGATCTAAATTATCTGAAGATTTTGACTTTTATAATGATGATATAGATAAAATGGCTAGTGAAAATACTCAATTAACTTCAGAATTAGCATTTGAAGACGATTTTTTTGAAAAAAATCAATAAAAGTTTTAAAAAATCTTGTGAATTAAATCCATTAAGTATAATGCAAATTATGTCAGATTATCAAGGTAATTTAAATGATTATTTTATTATTCTTTTATTTATTATTCTTTTATTTTAATATGATATTTATTTGAACTTAGAAAAATATGATTATTATACTCAAAAAAAGAAAAAAAAATTGGAAACAAAGCTACATCTAATAAAAAAAATATTACAGTAGTAACTAAATTAGGCAAAATTGATATTATGACTGCTGTTTGACAGAATAGATTAAGTAATAGTGTGTAACAAATAAGAACAAAAGGGTGAATAATATGATGGAAAACAGCATGTAAGAAAGTCTTTAATTCTATTAAAATAAATCCACAATCTTTTAAATTTAAAAAAAGAAGATTTTTATTATTACTGTAAAAATAACTACTCTATTGTAATTGCTGAGATTATCGCAGTATTTGAGGTAAATTATTTAAATTCATTAAATTTATTATAATTATTATTTTTAATTTATTAACTTTTATATTATTTAAGAAACGTGAATCAAGTTATATTCATATAGACTTATTAACTAGTTTAAATGAAAAAAGATTTATACACGTTTATATGATCTTAAGTTAGATTTAGCATATGAATTTACTCCTATTATAAACCAAAATTACACACAATTTATATGTGAATCGAGTTTATTTCATTTTATTGCACTTTTGGGTTTTGTATTAGAAGAATATTATGGATCTTCTCACTGGTTAGGAAAAATGATAATATTGGGTGATCTTTAATATGCAATATGTTTTCATTTTGTTAGAAAATCTCGTAAACTTGAGCAATCTATTAAAAAGGCAGAAAAAATTATGCGGACAAAAAAACATTAATTCTAATGATATTGAATAATTTTAAAAGGATTCATTTTTATTAAAATGAATTATAAACTTTATTATATAGTACATTTGATTATCAATAAACTTTTATTGTATATTGCTTTAATGTTAATTCAATTTTTATCTGTACACTTTATTAGAATATAAAGATTACATTTAAACTTATGTAGTATATTAAAAAGTAAATTTAAGGTTTATGTATACTCTTATATTAAAATTTAAATGTACATTTATATAAACACTAAAGACAAAGGTTTATATATGTATCGTACTAACATTCAGGAGTCCTGTCAGAATTGAGTCAAATTTATTACTTTATTTGTACCATGTTGATTTGTTTTGTATTGTACAAATGATTGGATAGCCAAAAAAGTAATGTAAAATCAAATTGTAATTTCTAAAAATAATACTAAAACGTTAAATATATTTTAGAAAATTTTAATCTAAGTAATTTGTTTATTTACATTCAATTAAAAAGCTAATCTATTTATAAAAAGCAATAAATTTAATTTTTTTTTTTTACATTATACTGTACTGTACATGTTATAATATGGATTATCGATCAGATCTTAAAAATTAAAATGCAATCATTATAAAAATAGCACAAAAAAATTTATCCATAATGAAAAAAAAAAATATTTCAATTAATTTAACAAGTCAATAAATTACATTATTCAAAATGAAACCTAATAATCCTTTACAAATAACAATTATAATGGTTATCCATCATATTAATTACAACTATAATCAATCCATGATGAACAATAATAATAATACTTTAATGCTTTACAAAGATGCTAATTTACATTTTCAACTATTTATAGCTGACTCTAATGCTTTAGCTCAGCTGTTCCCTTCACATACTGGTCATACTAATGCTAATCCACCACTATCCGCAAACTATATTCCTAATCCTAACTCTCTCCAACAAAATCATAACGTCCTTTGTTTTGACATTCCTGACTTTAAGATTATTATTATTTCTGTAGATAATTTGACTTTAAATGTTGTTAATAATAGCTCTCAACAACAACAATTTAATAATTATAATAATTTTAGTGGCTAACCACAAATTCATTTGGGAGCGTTGCCAGTAAATCACTATCCGATTTGCTATGTATCATA